GAAGGAATAGGCATGAAGGTATTGATGCAAGATCTAGATGTACGTGGAAAGAAATAAGGCTTTACTTATGATAGTCGTTTTTTTTTTGTTTTTGTTCTTTACGGTGTTATACAGTTGTTTACGTGGAAGTACGATCGTATACGTTAGTGTATGGTGTGGATGTAAATGAAGAGGGGACTCACAGCTATACACCCTCTCTATAAATGTTATGTAATCTTTTTTTCTTTCTCATTCAAATATTTAAAATATATGATCTATTGTTTCTATTTATTATCATAGACATTATTTGTATTTATTATACCAAAGATAGGTTTATTTCAATTTTTATTATGCAATCTAAAAAATTTAAATTTATTTTTGATCTAGTCATTTCATAAAGTTTGGTCAACACTGTTCATGTTAATTGTTTTTAGTTCTCAGAAAATAATTACTTTTTTTTATTTTCATAAATTACGAAATATCATAGTTTTATTGTTAGAAATTGAAATGAACTTGAAGTTTGTTCATTTCATCATGGTGATTCTTTACACAGTCTTGTTCGTTTTACTCATTAAATCCTTTACTTTTTGTCAGAACAAAATAAATCTTAGATTGATTCCTTTTTTATTTTTTGTGTTTTGTATTTAAAGATTTTAAAACAGCGATAATAAATCTAAGTGATGATTCAAATGAGATGCAGTAGCTTGAAGAACATCAAACATCAATACTAGTTTTAGAATAGTTTATGAAAATAAAATATTTTTGATTAGAAATGATTTTTATTTTGTACTTTAAGACAAATGCAATTTTCTTAAACGCAAGAGTATGTTGTATTAGATCAGTTCAAATTTATTAATATCGATAAATAAACTTTAGTGAAACAAGTGAATGTTAACGACACATCAAATGATATTTAGTAAATTTTGATAAGAATGATTTTTCTTTTATTTTGAGTTATTTAATATAGAACGACATGATCATTCATGAAAATTAACTCGGATAAAAATTATCACAAAAGTTTTATTTTATTTAAATGAAGATTTTATATTTTCAATATGGACTATTCCCGTAAAGAATGCAATTCATTTTTATGAACCTTGCCAATGGATAAGAAAGAAAACATGAAAATGAGTCAATGGATGAAATTTATCTCCGTCTTTTACTCGGTATTGTTAAAAAACTATTTTTTTTTAATCGACTTCCTTTCAATATTTGTAATGAAGTATAAAAAAAAAGATTTTGTTCTTGATTAATTATATTTAAAAATGTTTTATTGAAAGATATCTATCTAGAAATGCTATTGTACGATAGCACGAAGTCCCTATAATATACGTCGATTGACTGGTTCTATAATAGCTGTAAGTTATATAAGTATGTCTGTGGATATTCTCTTTCTCTAAACTCATCTATGCATACACATACCCATACCATTTATTGTTGATGGGTCTTATCTAATTGTTTGACACGATACATTTAATATTTTTTCAAGTATAAAATTAGATACTTAGCTCAATCAATCAAGAAACAAAAAGAGTATGTCTTTTGTTTATATACATTTATGATATCCATAAAATAGAATTAATCTTTAAAAAATTAGAAGAATTATCTTATCAAAGAAAACAAATATATTTTTCATGTATTTCCAAATTTTAATGTAATTAATTTAAAAAAAGATTGAATATTTTTTGTTAAGATTTTTGTTTTAGATTTAACATCTTTATTTTTGTTCTCATTGTCAATGATTTTACGATTGATTATTTAATATTTAAATCTTTGGGTAATTCTTTAATTGGATCGGTAAATATAAGCCATTTTTCTTTTGGTATATCATTGAATGCTTTGAAAAATCGTTTATCATCTTTAGATTCACCTTTAACTGCTCGAATAAAAATTTTGTGTATTCGTTTAGGATATTTTCGTGCAATAAGTCCATAAATTTCTGGATCAATTTCACCTGAATCTCCAATTAATACAAGTGTACGTAATGAATTAAAAATAAAATAACGTAAATGATTAATTTTATGCATTTTTGTATCTATAAAAATGAATAATCAATAAAGATAGAATAAAAAAAAAAAGTTCAAGGTCAAACTTACCAGAAGAATGAATAAAATTATAGATCGACATAGAAGACCAATGAAAGTGACTATTAAATTGAACAGACTACATTATGATTGATAATGCAAGAAATTATTAATTCTTACCGCATATGAAATGTACCGTCAGGAAACTTATGATCATCTATAAAATCTTTCGTCACTGTATAGAGTTGATCTGGCATTGCACTTAGATAATGAAATGAACAATTGTATTTATCTTTCCATTTACGATATACTTGTGGCATTCCTAAAAAAATAATCCATATAAGAAATAATAGTTTAAGTTATAAATTCTATTTCATATCTATTATAATCTAGAGATTACATACAAAAATATAACATACTTATTTACCTTCTACAACACGAAATCTATGGATAAATGTATTAGCTGCTAATCGAATTTTATCTATTACTTCACTAATTTTAATTGTATCATCAATATCAGATATAATAGATAATCCGCGTCGTTCTAATAAATGAATTTTTCCTTCCCATAAATCATCATTATCTCCAATTGCTTTATATATTATAACTTGATCTTGTTTTTTTGTATTTTTTAATTTTTGTATATCTGCATCCGACATAATGAATGACGTACGAAATTGTCCATCAGAATCTGTTTTTGTTGTAAAATTATTTTTTTTTCCAACCATAATAAAAATTTCTTCATTTTTTCTACCATCAACCATAAAAGGTTTAAGACGATCACGTTGAAATGTATCATTGTAATAGACAATCTGTTCTGGCGTAGCAAGTAGACGTGCAATACGTTCAGCTATTGTTGAAGATGATTCACCTAAGAATTTATTACGACTTGATTTTCGAAAACGCCAACCATGTACATTTAGACGCCAATTACCATCATTACGTTGAAATCCAGTATTAGGAAATAACATCATTTGTTCGTACTTATGATGTTTCTCTGTAGTACCTACATTTCCTGCTATTACTTTTCTTATTTTGTTTTTCATCTTTTGAACAAATTGAGTTTGGCTATGAGCTATTATACTAACAAAAATTAAGAATCCTAATAACCATACGGGTGACATGGCCATCATACTTTGATGATAATTGAAATGAATATATTTGCAAGATATAATCGTAGACTATATATAGAGATATTCCTTTCTTTTTCTCTCTGTCTCTCACTCTAGAAAAAACATACGAGAATAGTTGACTATTAATCAGAATATCTACCAAAAAATGTTCGGAAAATAGAACATATGTTAAGTCTGGAAAATATCTGTACGGACAGTATATTGATAAACAATGATTACTTGCCAATGCGGCATACTGCTCGATTTCTTCATTTCTTGTTTAAAACAACTTACGGTCCAATGTTGTATATCTAATATTCCACTAATATAACCTTCTTTTTTTTACTTCATATATATTGACCTTCTAGTTGCTTCTCTGGATACGTGAAATAAGATGTTTAATGAACTGTCATTAGTAATTTCATTTGACAGATGAATTATACTTTTCTGATCGTTTCTCTTAGTGAATGTCGAACACCTTCAATTATATTAAATTCAGAATAATGTGATATATGATAAATTAAATAATTTTAGTCTCTATTCATTGAATGGGGTAGAGACTCTCCTTCGAATCAATATAATTTTTGTTTCATTTAGACCTTCAATATAATAAAGATCTATACATAGGATAAAGGGGACGAAACACTAATAATTGAATCATATGTTGAGATTTCTCTTTGTAATAAATAGTTGTATAACATGTTATTGTCAAATTCAGGATAATGAGATCATTTTTAATGTGTTTTACTTTCCCATAGATGGATATCTGTTCCTGCCTCGAAATTTAGTAAGACTTGAAGATGTGGGTGTGGGAGATTTTTATAATAAATCTGTTGAAAGAATAATATATCTGGAATAGATCTGATAAGATATAGTTTTTCGGTATTATGCGGCAGGATTTTTAATAGAAATCTTTTTTATGACATATTAACCAAAAAAAAGTCTTGAACAACAAAAATGAGTGAATTGAATAAGAATTCAAACCTTAGACTTTGCTAACAGATAAATAGCTCACTGAATTATTTAATGTTAAGGAGTTTGTATGTCAACTACTATGATATAATAATATTTTGAGAATAAATCCAGTGGAAAAAAAATTAATCTAACAACAATTTAATTTATACTAAAATGTATTCAAATTAATCATATACAAGACACCATACTTCCATAATATAGGATATAGAAAAAAAAACCTTTCTCAGAACTGTAAAAAAAAAACTCAATTAAACCCAAAGACAAATAAGTTTCAGTACCTCCTTATAGATGGCTGTAGAAGCTAAAAACAAAGAGAATGTTGCTCAATATTTTTGTGCTGTGTCTTATGGATGTTTTTTTAATCGTGTCTTCTCTATGACAACCATCTTTTAGATGGTAGTATTTTAAATAGCAAAATGAGTAAGTGGTTGTATGTAAGCAGATACCATAATATTTAATTATTATAATTCAAAGATTTGTCAAGCCCAATAATACATGAAGTCGATACTCGACAAAATCCAACATTAACAGTATTTGATGGATCTCGAGATGATGAAAGTAAATTAGCTAAACAATTCTGGAACTCAGTCGTACTTATGCCGCCTGTAGAATCAACATTAGTTTGCAAAGAAATTAAACAATGTACAAAAAGTCGACCAATCAATGATGGAAAAAATAAACGTATATTCGAATATATATATATATATATTTCGATAATTTATTATCAATTTTTATTTTATAGCAAGATTCTCTACTGCTATAGTCAAAGCTAATCAAGAAAAAACATTAAGAAGTTGATTATAATTCAAACAGAAAAAAAAAAGAAAAGAAAAATATCATACACTTTTTTTTCTTATTTCATAGATCAAGAATATGAAGAAATTGCTGCTCTAAAAGAAGCTGAAGATGAAGGAAAACAAATACAAGCTGTTCGAGAACGACATCAATCATTAAGACAGCTTTTTTTTAAACAAGCAAGAATTAATCGACTTAAAGTAACTTGTTCAAATCGTCCTCCTTCATTATAAATTGCGTATATTTAACATTTTAGCATCAACAATGGGCAATTTCTCATATTAATAACTATTCTATCAATAGTAATTTACGTGGAAGAACCATATATTATCAAGATGGAATTAATAATGGATATAACGATGACGACGATAATGATCGACGATTAGTTCGTTCTTTACCAGAATAAAAAAAAAATAGATATTGTTATTTTTTTTTTATAATTCCATTAATTCTTTAAATGATTCTCGAATTTTTTTAAGATCTTCATTAGCATTATCATTCAAATTGACGCTAATAACTTGCCATTTGAATGTACTTGCACGAGAAGTTGTAAGTGTAGCTAAAAAACGAAAAGCAACTTCTAGATTAGTTAATAAATTTTCATTATTATTTTCGTCGAGTATTTTTTGATTTTGTGAACCAAAAAAATTTTGATATACAACAATAAGAACTGGAATACGATAAAGTAATCGATTTGTAAGAATTTGTGAAAGTAAAAGAAGATTAGTATCTAATCTTGATCGATCATGTACATTAATTAACCAAACAAGAAGAGAAGTATTCGAAAAATGATAAGGCCATAATGATCGAAGAGAAGATTGACCACCACAATCCCATAATGTAATTTTGTGACAACGGCGACGACAGAAATGACGACTATAAAGTTTTATTGTTTCAACATTGTATCCTAAGATAAAAAAACTTAGTCCGAAAGTCTTCGATTATTACCCTTCGAACTTACCGATTGTTGGATGAGGAAGAGATTTGAATTTTGATGATTGTTTTCTATCACATGTTAATCGAGTAAATAAATCTGTCTTGCCTACTCCGTCCAAACCCAAAATAAGAACTTTTTTTTTCATACACAAACGTTGTTTATTATAAAATTCACTAAAGTCAATATGATTAGTTTTTCTCTTACATAATGATGCTGATGATGGAGCATGAGAAATTGTTGGGAATCGGTAATTACATTTTATATTAGATGTATTCGACAAATTCTTATATTTTGCTTTTGAATTAATCATACCCATTGTTCTCTTTTACTCTCGACTTTAATCAATGTAAAAAAATACGAAGAAATAACTCACATCAATTATACATTCATCATCATCGTTGTTGAAATAGTAATTATAAGATTTCTATCCCGTTTATAAATAGATGTGTGTATATTTCTAAATAAGTCTCTATTGAAATTGTTATTTTTGCATTACCGATAATCAAATGATCGTTCTTCTCAACTTGTCATATTGTTATTATTTTGTTAGTAAACGAAAAAAAAAAGAAGAAGAAATTGATATCATAAATGACAAGAAAAAAAAAACAATATTTTCTGTCCTTCTTTAATATAACATTGTGAAAGAAAAACGAAATGAATAAATTAGACGGCATACAACCACAGTATACATGCTATTACAATCAATAAACAAGTGATACCTTGAATTTATCTTACGATATAGAAAAAAATTATTTTCTATCAAACAAATCAAGGAGAAATTATCATTTATTTAATTAGTCAAAGATTGTTTTTTAACGAAGCAATGAAATATTTTTTCATGATATCAAAATAGTATCATTATGAACAAGTTTTTTCTTTTTCTTTCTAATCAAAGATTAATTTTACATAGCAATCATAGCATAGACACTAAAACTATAACTCAGTCTTGTTCAATTAAAATGGTTTTTGTCTAAATCAATAAATTTCTCCTGATATGTAAATTGGATAGAATTCAATAATCTACTTGTAAGCTAATAGGTAATATTCATGTCAACATTATTCTAATCATTCAATTGAGATCATTGTAATTGATTTATATTCGTCAATATGTAAAAGAGAAAAACATGATCGCATCATCACTAATTGATTGATCACTAGCCAACATCAATATGTGTGGTAATAATATATATACATTTATCGCTTATCCAGTTTTTCATCATAAGGTAAATTGAACAAAAAAACAAATTTTTTTTTGGAAAATGATTTCGATTAATGATGAACAAACTTTATCGAATTTATCTGATATTGATGTTGGTAATACAACTTCTGAGTAAGTAGAAATATTTATACTATTACAAATAGAAAAACAAAAGTTCTTTGTTTTTTTTTATTGTAGTTCTTCATCACAAACGTTCGCAACGATGATAACAAGTACACCACAATCAACATATAAACCACGAGTGAATTTTCATTCAATTGAATCATTAGCATCATCTTGTACTTCTATTTTTTCCCCTTCTATCCCTAATCAAAAGAACGGTAAGTTACATTCTTTACTCTTGTATAATCTAGGTGGAATTATTTAGTAAGTAAAATAGAATTGATATTTTTTTTAGTCAAACCCGTTTTTATTATGTAGAATTAATTTTATTCTTATTGTTTTATTTTAGACGATACCGGTTATAGTTCATTCAATTCTCCGACTCCATCATCTCGTGAATATTATCATACGTTCAAATGTAATGAACGAAAGGTATGTAGATTATAAATATTCTTAATTATAAGTTAATGGGTTTTATGTGATTTTAGACACGACGAAAATTATCTGATTGGCAAATCTGGTATTTAAATCAAATTTATGCTAAAAATCGATATCCAACACCACATGAACAAGAACAAATTGCTGCACAAGTACTTTTACCAACATCATCAATTCGCATTTGGTTTCAAAATCATCGTGCACGATCTGGAAAAAAATGACTTTGTTCGTCGTGTTTCTTTTTTTATAAATATTTTGCAATAAAGTATAGATTAATATAAAAAATAACGTCGTCGTCTCACTGTTGGAATAATTTCTGTATGTATACATATCGATACAAGTCGATCATAATATCCAGTTATATTTTGAGGTGTAATTTTTGACCAATATGCACTTTGAAATGTTTTTATAACTTCTGGTATTTGTAATGGTTTCGTTCCATGTGAATAATCTTTTCTTAAAAGAATTAAAAATTCAAAATAATTTAATTCTGATAGATTTTCTTTTAAATAATTTTCCCATTGTTGACCATCAATACAACTGATATCTTCAGTATAAATTTCAATAGAAATATGTTCAAGTTTTGATGTTAAATGTTTAAGTATACATTTTAATTGATTAAAACTAATATTTAAATCATATGTTGTTCGAAGAGAAAAACTACGAAGAGTCGAAGGTGTCTCAAATGTTAATTGTCTATATAAATGAAAAAGAAAGTTAGATTAAATTTAAATAGAATCTTACTTGTCTAAATTTTGAATGTTTATGATATTGCAAGTTTGAAGTATTACATTAAGACATGTAAGTTCAGAACAAATATAAAGTAAATGAACAAGATCATCAAACGATTGAAGAGGTATAGCAAGTTGTTTGATTTTAGAAAATTTTTGTGGTGAAAAAATAGGTATTTTTAAAGGACTTATAGATGCTATATAAACAGAATGAAGATTATTCTTATTATTTTTTTTGGGAAATAGAACATCAATTAATTTGATTGTTGATCCATAGATAATATTCAAATCAGTTAGATTTCGAAGTGGCTAAAAACAAAAAAATAGAAAATGGATTAGATTTTATTTTGGAATTTATTTTGGTTTTTTTCTTATAAAATTACCGGAATATCATCAGGTTGTGTATGAATAAATGTTAATTCTTGAATATTTGATGCTATACTAATTTCAGATGAAGATAAATGAATATTTTTTATTGTAAGTGAATGAAGATAAGGTCCAATAATAGAAAGAAGTTGATAATTTTCTCGATGAATGGAACAATTTTCATTAGAAATAATAAGTGTTTGAGTGAATTGTGAAATTGTACAATTAAGACGATTATTTAAACCAAAAAAAGCAAGAACAATATCATATTGAGATAAATATTGACAAATAATTAAGAAAATTTCATCCGGTAAATATTCAAGAGATGTTGTCATTGTTTATTTCTATTCAAGATAAAATTAAGTCGTTTAGATACCTTAAAAAATGCAAAATAAATATGACATTACATGTTTATACCAGTGCATGCAATGTCTGAATCATAGAGATCGTATCGAAAAACAAATGACTCATACATTATAAATATTACTAGAAAAGGAAAAAATTACCGGCCTTCTTCTTTCTTTTCTCATTGTAACTTAGCTAATTACATATGGATTATAAATGTTGTCGTATCAAAGACAAAAATAAAATACACGAAGTTGATTCTTCGTATCAGTAGATAAAAATGTTTGTCAACACTTTTAGGACTTTTTTTTTAATGTTAATAACAAAAAAGATTATAGGTCAGATGCATTTTTAAAATATGAATAGATGAGAGATTAGAGAAAATGAAATTATCAAATATTCATAGAAATCATTTAGATTATGTTGATTTTGTTGTTGATTTTTATTTCGAAAATAATCATTACAAGAACATTTTCCTTGTTGAAATTTATGATGTCGTGTTCTATCTCGAGTTATTATAACAAGTTCTTCATAAATACGAGTAATTCGTTTAAAAATTTCATGACAATCTCCACATATTCGAAGATTTTTTGTTATTTGTATTGGTTCATTACTTGATATTGTTCATCGAAGTAGTAATTGATAAGAAAATGCTAAACATTCACTATCACTATTTAATGGATCATTTAATTCACTTGAATTATGATCCGATGTTATCCATCGTTGATCACTTATAAGACCATCTTTATTAAGTTTATCAGAAATATGTTTTAATTCTTCATAAATATCTTCTGTTCGTTCATGACGTTTCTAAATAAATAAAAAAACTATTAGCACAATCCCTGTCGGATCAAAAAATGTGAAACACAATGTAGCGCCTGTTACTAATCACAGAAAGATTGCTTTATTCAATCTATTTTGAGACATATTTCTTCACTATCCTTTTACTTAGATTTCCAAAAATCATGTTAGAGATGTGCAGAGTAATCCTATTGTACTCTGCAAAATACGATAAGAGTTAGAAAATTTTTTCTCAATCAAGGCATAGGGTACAAAACAAGCTTACACTGCACCTGTATAGTTCATACATTATAACAAAACGTTATTAATATACAGTCTTTGATCGTATATCAACAACGTCTGTGATGGAGAGGCAGAATATTGCTAAGGCGTCTCTCATGGATTGTATGAAGCTCAAACTTTTATCCACACTTCTTTTAGATCGTGTTTCATAAAGAGAATTAATTAAAATAAAATTTGAAAATGTATATTTTTATTTATACGAACATCATGAGCAATAAATTCATGTATTCGACCATCATTTGTTTCTGTCCATGATATTCCACTAAGTTTATTTTTTTCAGTTGCAATTGTACGTAAACGTCGAGCTTCATTCATATTATCAAGAAAAGCATGAGTATTTGCTAAAAGTATTGTTGTTGATGAAATATAATGAACATTATTTGGAAAATATTCTTCAATAAGATCACGTATTTGAATCACTTTATTAATATTTTGAAGACGAGCATAAGCACTTAATAGTGTTATATACATTGGTGGATATTTATTATTAGTTTGTTCATATTGATTAAGTAGATTTAGAGCTTGATTGATTTTTGAAGCACGACAAAATGCATGAATCTGTAACAAAAAAAAAGATGAATCAAGATTTATATTAAACAAAAAACAAATGCTACTATTTACCATAGTTGCATAAATAAAAACATTTCGACATTTTATTGGTATCAAATCAAATATTTGTTCAGCTTCATTAACAAGTAATGAATGTGAACAAGCATTAAGAATAATTGAATAAATTTGTTAATTAGGAGTTAATATTGAATTATAAATTTCTAAAGCTTTCAAGTCATCTCCGCTAAGACCTTTGAAATGAAAGACGTTCTTTGTAGTAAAAAGAAAAAGAAACATTAAAATTCTATTTCATATCATATGCATTTATCTACAAAACAGAATTACTAAAATATTCAAAAAATAAAAGATATTTACCAGAGCATTATACGAAATGATATTCTTATTTTCAATTGTATCGAATAGTTCTTGAGCGGTAGTAACATCAGCATACTAGAAAAAAAAATATAAAATTGATTACTTTTTAATGATATATATGTAACATGACTATTTAGCTTTGATTTACTTTTCCAAACATATCAATAAGAGCACTCATTATTCGAATATCTTCTTTATAAGATGGAAAATAATATAAAATTTGTTTATATAAAATACGAGCTCGTCGTAACATAGCGATTTGAGCACATGCATTAATTGCAAATTAAATAAGATATTGCATCAGGTTTTGGTATTGTATCAAAAATTGAAAGTGCAATTAAGGGTGTTTGAGCATAAATGTAACCTTTCATTAAAGCCTATTAAAATGAAAGGATAAGGGGGAGTTCTTATTGATACATGACTAGAGATGTGCTCGACAACGGAAAAGAAAATATAGGTAAATATTCTTTGATTTTAAGAGAAATGACCCAAAAAAGTGCTAGTCGTCAATTAAATAAACCAAAAAACAAGTATTGAAAAATTTTTTTTTAGATGTGATACGAATATAATAATTTTCTCTAGACCAAGATTGGAGTACAAAAAATTAAAATCACCACGATGAAAAATACTTGGTCCCGCACATCTCTCTACATGATTCTTACATTATAAATACCAGTAGTGCGTAGTTGCGTGATCTGATCGAAAATTTTTTGAGCTCGATTATGACAACAAAAAACAAAATTTTGCCTATTCGATGAACACATTATTTACCAGTAATGATATCACCATATTTGCCTAATGTATTGATAAGATTTATTTGAAGAATAGGATGATTATCACCCAGGTCCAACAAAACGGCGTCGTAAACGGCCTGAAACGGCTATAAAACGGCGATTAACGATGTAAAACGTCGATAAACGGTACCGTAATCCGTCATACCAGATTACGGAAGCAAAATCGGAAAAAAACGGCCGCCGTTTTCTAGCGGTAGACGGTGGTCGTAATACGGTATGACGGATTACGGCGAAATAAGGCCAAAATTACTGCAGTAATTCGCCGTTTTATAGTCGTTTCAGGCCGGATACGACGCCGTTTCCGACGGCCGGAATGATCCACCTGGGCACGATGAATTGTACTAGAATTTAAATCATTTAGAATTTCTTGACATCGATCAATATGAGTCATTTTAGCAGCAGAATAAAGAACACAACTAAAGGTGATTGGATCAAATTTAAGATTCTTTTGAGTTTGTTTTAATTTATCATACAATTGAAATGTTTTTTTCATACATTTTATTATTATTATAAACTTTTAATCTATACAAAACAAGAATAAATTATATGACATAATAAGATTAAAATACATACAAAGAATTATAATGAATAATTGTTGAATTTTCAATCGTTTCAAAAATATTTTCAGCTGAATAAAGAAATTAAATAAAACTAAGAAACAAGAATAAAAAAACTTATTTTTTTATATTTACCATTTAATACATCATTACATTTGCCATACATCTAATAATTAAATAATTAGATATTATCATTCGATCTATATCGACTTACATCAAATAATGTAGTTTATAATTTAAATTGTTTTCGAAGATCTATATTTAATTGTGCTAATTTATTAATTAATCGTTTTCCTTGTTGTAGATCTTTTAATTGTGAACATGCTTGAAATGAAAATAAATAAGAAATAGCATCAGGATATTGAACACGATCAAATGTGATCAAAGTTTTTTCTGGTTGACGGTGAAGATTATATCCAGTGATAAGTATAGAAAAAGCTGTTGGATCAATATGATGAGGATTAGTTGATATTGGTAATGATGCTATTAGATCTGAGAGAATCTTTTCCGCTAAATTTAACAAAACGAAATTGAAAGTAAAAGAAGCAAAAACGAATTACCTAGATCGAAATAACCTCCTTTTGAGTACATATTTAATATGATCTAATATGAAAAAGAAAAAGTAAATCAGAAAATAAAATATCATTTTTAACTTTATAATCTACTTGCGATTTGTAATCGTTGATCATTAGAAAATTTCCTATTAATTCAAATTTGAGTATATAATTGATGACCTGCAGATCAATTTTTAGTTGATATGTATGCTTTAAAAAGTATACCATATATATTTGTACGGATAAATCAAATAATCGTGGTTGTCGATTATGATATTGTTTAAGAACTTCTTCTGGTTTACCATCATAAAGAAGTTCACGTAATGAATGATTCCATTTATGAATTTCATCATGATTTATCAGGTTATTCATTGCAGATAATCACCTTGATGATAGAGTATAATATATAATACAACTTAATTGACGATAATTTCTTTTCGTATAAAAATATAACATCTGAAATCTGTAAAACGTCTTTTAGAAAGAATAATTATTTTTCTTTTGAATAAATTTTGTTTAATGCTAATCGGATGTTTCTAATTAGATCAGATTAACTTATAAGACAGCCTACAATAGAAAACGTGTATCTTTGTTATTCTTTTTTCTCACTCTGTTGGTATTTTTTTTCTGCCTCGTCAGCTATAGCTCATACGTTTTTACCTCTTATATATATTCTATTCGTTACTTCATTCTATAACATTAAATCCGACAAGAACAAAACTAGTAGTGTCGTCATTATGCAGCTTCGTTCTGATCTTTCATTCAAAATCGAAGGAGAAAAATACTTTCATTTATTTCAATTCATACCTGATCACGACAGAAGAATTTGCATGTACTGGATCTGGATTAGCATATTGTTTTTAAATCTAAATTAGATTAAAATTTATTTAAAAATTTCTCTCAAATTTTTAAATAGTTTTGATGTACTTTTTTTTATCGATGTGAAGCTAGCACGAACACCAATCAGAATCGATCCCCTAACCGACCGATCAGCGCTCGAGCATGTTTTACCACTCGTAGTCCATAAAATACCATCAAAACCTTCCATAGCAACCAAACACATTTTCCTACAACGCCTTAAAAATTAATAATCCCATCAAACAGGATCGCCTATATATCTTCAACCAACTAATCATCAAAAAAAAAGATCACATATGACACACATGAGTGATCTTCTCAAAATAAATTAACTCATAGCTTCGTAAATATCCATTGCAAAAAGATAAAAATTATATCACTAGATAGAGAATCAAAAGACGATTATAATGATATATAGAGAAGTTCCAAATTCGACTTTTGAAATAGTCATATAATGAAAAAAAAGATCATATATGACATGCATGAGCGAACTTCTCAAAATAAGTTGACTCATAGCTCTGTAAATATCCATTGCAAAAAGATGGAAATTATATCACTAAATAAAGAATCAAAAGACGATTGTAATGATATATAGAGAAGTTCCAAATTCGATTTTTCAAATGGTCATATAATGAAAAAAGAGGTCATATATGACATGCATGAGCTAACTTGCGTGTAGGTGTGGGTGTGACTGTTCATGTGACAGCATAGAAAACCCATCCACACCCACACCCACAACCACATGCAAAGACACCCGACCGACATGATTTATCAGTCAGTTCCGATATTCCCACCCGTTGTTCTGAAGTCATCATCCATTTCAAAACAACAACAAATACACCATTAAATAGAGAATTTGATTCTCTACAAGACGGTGTACTTGCAAGAGACTGAATCCATTTTGAGATTCAGTCGAGAAAGGGAAAACAAGGACCCGAGTGCCATGATTCATCACCGAGTTCAGAGACTGGGACCGAATGTTGTGAACTCACTATGCATTGCGAAACAAAAAGAAATACACCATCAGATGGGGAATTTAATTCTCTACAAGCTGGTGTATTTGTTGTTGTTTTGCAATGGATCATGAGTTCACAACATTGGGCCCGAATATCTCAACTCAATGTTGAATCATGTCAGTCTAGTTTTTTTTCCTTTGCCGACGGCATTTCCAACCGATTATCTGTCTTTCAAACACACCATCTTGTACAGAATTCAATTCTCTATCTAATAGTGTATTTGCTATTGCTTTCCAATGGATCATGGTTGCACAAAATGGCTTCCAACATGTGAACTCACAGCTTACTCATGTGAGCATGATCGTTTTTTGCTCTCCGACCCCATTTCAGAATCGATTGTCTCTATTTCAAATACACCATCTTGTAGAGTATTCAATTCCCTATCTAATGGCGTATTTGTTGTTGTTTTGCAATACATCGTGAGCTCGCAAAAATGGGTTCCAATATCTGAACCCACTAATGAGTCATGTCAGTCTGGTCGTGTTTTTCCTTTTCTGACCCCATTTCAAAATCGAGTCTCTCTATTTGAAATACACCATCTGATAGAGATTTCAATTCTCTATCTAATGGTGTATTTGTTGTTGTTTTGCAATGGATAGTGAGTTCACAACATCGGGTTCCATTATCTGAACTCGCTGATGAATCATGTCAGTCGGGTGGTGTTTTTCCTTTTCTGGCCCCATTTGAAAATCGATTGTCTGTATTCGAAAAACACCATATTGTAGAGAATTTAATTCTCTATCTAATGGTGTATTTGTTGGATTTTTGCAATGGAAGATGAGCGGACAAAGGCCTTTCCGAATATCCGAAATGAGAGTGCCGTTGTTCCGCTCATCTATTTTTTTTCCTTTGGAACCCACTTCAAAAATGGATTCTCTATATAAGAGTTGTGTACTCTTATAAATTATTCAATCGTGCATGTAATGATTTTTTTTGTGTTTTGCTTTGAAGTTTTCGTTTGGATGAAAAAGTTTCGTGTGTTAGTGTTTTATGCTCATCGAATGGTTGTTAGGTGAAAGCCATGTCCATAGTTTCGTCCTCCATAGTGGAGTTTTTATATAGACCATCAGTGATTGGCTGATGTGTCGACCAATGAGAATTTTTTTTCCTTCGTGGTAATTGTTCGTGTTCGTGCTAGCTTCACATCGATCTTTTTTTTAAAGTTTTTTTTTCGTTTTTTTGTTGGCTTTTCCTTCTTTTTGTTAGCTTTTTCTTTTTTTTTGTTGGCTTTTTGTTTTTTTTTCTTTTTTTTTGTTGGCTTTTTGTTTTTTTTTGTTTTTTTTTGTTTTTTTTCGTTTACTTTTTTTTTTTGTTTTTCTTTCTAGAAAAACAGAATGAAAAATTTAGATTATTTTCAAAATATATAGATTTTTCACACTTATTGGAGTTGGAGGCGTCGTCGAGGAGTATGGCGAGGCCAATGTGGACGCCGCGCTCTTCGCATATGTATTCGACCTCCATATCGATATGGTCGTACAACTGCTACTGGTGGACGAGGTCGAAGAGATGGTGGTGAAGGCGACGGCGGCGGTGGTGGAGAAGACGACGGCGGTGGTGGAGAAGACGACGGCGGTGGTGGAGAAGACGACGGGGGTGGTGAAGAAGACGACGGTGGTGGTCGAGGAGAAGATGATGCTGGAGGTGATTGAGTACAAGACGGTGCTGGTGGTGGTGGAATACAAGACGGTGCTGGAGGTGGAAATGCTCGTTGTAGTATCTCAACAACTAGTTTCAGTTGTTCAAGCACGGCCGACATTGTCGATTCAATCTAAATGTCAAACCTCAAATCATCATTTTTCAATTTCAAAATAACTTACTCGGTCAAGTCGAGTTGAAATAGTACTATCAGCCTAAAACAATGGAAACAGGACCGTAGCCAAGATGTTCGAGTATGCTGGATCTCAACTTCAGAGCACTGGACCCGGTTGAAACTTATGGAGGATGATATTGGACCGAAATGATGAGCTTTTATGAAAAAATTTTTTCGGTCTGATTTTGCGAACAAAAATTTAGGCGAGCTAGAAAGAAAATAATTTTTTTTTCGCAAAATCCGATTGAAAAAATTTTTCATAAAAGCTCATCATTTCGGTCCAATATCATCCTCCATAAGTTTCAACCGGGTCCCATGCTCCGAAGTTGAGATACAGCATACTCGAAAATCCTGACTACGGCCCTGAATGGAAATCAAATGTATAAACAGATACATAAATAAAAATATGACATGCAAAAAATTAATTATGTGCGAAACATGCAGCTGTTAGTTTGATTTATCTCTTCCTTGATGATCACCGGACATTATCTAAAATCAGGATGTGTCTAAATTTTGAAGATTAATAAAAAAGAATAAAAATCTAACTAAGCAAAAGCGATTTAGGTGTATCGTCACAACAGAGAAAGCGATCATATATATATGTATATACGAGGATATAATGATGTGCAGATAGATATAAGACAAAAGTCAATATATGAGCTATGATCAAGTGCATAAACACCCAGCTAAAAAGCTACTTACTATTTGTGTACTAGATTTAGATTTACACATATTTAGTCTAAAAATACAAATAAACAAGAATTCTCCCTTATAATTGTAATGAATTTCTCGTTCTGAGAGTTGATCACGTTCAGACATTCTGATTATTTACAAACGGAAGACCTTCAGTCCCAAGCTATGCTATCCTTTAAAAAAATGACTTACTGATTGATTAATCGAAGATGAGGATGAGATCGTAAATCTGAAAGAAAAATACGTTTAATTTTAAGAAAATATAGAACCTAAACGAGAGGCAACTAAAAAAAATATCCGCGTCTATCCATTGTAATCGGTCACCGTTTCTGATTGTTATAGTCTGTGCACATATATACATGAGTCATCCAATCAATGTAGAAATCGATATCCACTAATGCACTTAGTCCAAACTGAATGGTCAGAAAAAACAAATTTGATAAAAATGTATAGAAACAACAGATATATTTACCTGCATATTTTGTTTTCGAGAAAAGTGAGTCTCACCTAGATGATGGCGCTACATGACATGCGGAATTCAATTATAGTATTATCAATTTTGTGTGAGAATGAATGGACGCGAAAGATGTCAGTAAATCAATGCTTTTATTTTGGTTTAGTTCCATGATTATACTGGGTCAGAAGAATTTGACTTCATAAATAATCTTTATTAGTGATGCACTTCATATGCTATAAATAAGAGTTTCCAAAAATGAATCTCATCCTAGGTGTCGCGCCACACATAGTGTATTCGACATTGATTGGTGTTTCCCCATTACTTTTTGCCATCAGACTACGTACTATTATGGTCGACTAAAATTATTCAATCAGGCGAGATAAACAAAGAAACAAAATTGTCGTATCCATCATTGACATTGTGTTCTTTATTCACAACTGATTGCAGAAGTGATTCGTGGTCTGACGAATCGGAGTCATAATGCACTTTGACATACACACAACTTTGATTCGATGAATTTTTTACAGAATGTCCGTTGAGTTTTTCTATTTATTAATCTAAAAATCGTTTTGGGCGAAAAGCAACTGTTTCTGAAAAAAGTACAAAATACCTTGATAGAGGACGCCACAGGTTTCTCGAATTTTGCACTTTTCTCAGAAAAAGTTACATTTCGCCCAAAACGATTTTCAGATTAATAAATAGAAAAACTCAACGAACATTCTGTAAAAAATTCATCCAATCAAATGTGTGTGTATGTGAAAGAGAGATAGCCACACGTCGGGAAAGTTAGCACCATATTCGTCTTTATCTGTCCGGATTCGCGATATTACTTGGGTTATTTCTAAAATAACTTGGGTTAGGTGCAGAATTTAATTCTGCATCCAATGGTGCCAGTTTCGAGGCGGGCTATCGGGCAAAAATACCCCACTTTCCTCAAAATACTGATTTTTTCAGGTAATTCTCAAGGTATTCCCTGTCCGGATTCGCTATATCACTTGGATTGTTTCTAAAACCACTTGGGTTAGATGCAGAATTTAATTCTGCGTCGAATGGTGTCAGTT